ACATCAAATTTATTACTTGTTTTGTTATCAACAGGAAAAATTGATATCAAATTGAGTTTTCAGTTTGCTCTCACTGATAGCAGAAATAGTTTTCAATGTGATGTCACAGGAAGATTTTTTTGCTCTCAATTTTGATATCTTAACCGGTAAAACGACCAAAACGACAGCAACCTGAGTAATCATTGTCAGCGAAATTATAACATTAAATTTAGATTTCAATTTGATCTCAGACTTTGCTCGGGTTACCACTACACCACCGGCGCTGCTATTTGTTTGATTCTTATTCCGGCATTGAGATACCTATTATTACGTAACAAAAATCGAATTCCAATGGTTTTGTCTTGTGCAGTCTACCGAAAGTGCGCCATTTTGTCCATTTGACCGCAATTAAATTATATGTAATTGCCGGTGATCTACAGACATACAAATGTACAAACCACGTAGATATCATATGTTGTTCCTTTCACCCAAAACGCGAATTGATAATAAACACTTAGACACTTTGACATAAAGGACGTAAACAATCATTTCATGTAAAATTAAGTGCTCCGAAACTAAACAATTCGTTGCACGATGAAAAGTGTGCTTGAGCTGAATTTCGCGTTTGCTATGACTAAACTGTATGCACAGAACAGAAGGAGAAGTGCAAACAAATCGGTGAATCAAAAAGTGGTTCGTTTTTCTACTCAACAAGCGATGTGTGTGGTAGCGTTCCACGCGGGCTTTCTATGTGCTCTCACACTATCATAGCATGCTGCCTATCTTAACTGCAGGCAGAAGATGCCTGCTACCGCTAGGTGCGCTAGTGTTCGCAAATGACAAGTGGAGCCACTTTCTGATCCGAAGTTCCACTCCTGTGCTGTATGTCAAAATTGACGCTCGTATATGATACACCGTTTTAAAAATTCATGTAAATTTCTGCGAGATATAGCGCACATAAAATAACGCTAGATTTGGCATACATTTACGCGATATTTCGTGTAAATTTAAGCGCAATACCACATAAATTAGCAATATTGTATGCAAGTTTGTAAACGATTTCGCTGTTTATGCCAAGTATAGCTCAAAATTAAACGAAGGGGGATTTTACGCGATAGTTAAAAATTAGATTTTTTTCTGTTTAGTCTCAGAGCACCTACATTTACCTGAATTAAGTGTATAGCTTTGAATATTGCCGCTAGGTTTAGTATATGAAACACATAAGCTCCTATATGAATCGATTGGAGCATGTATCGGATAGTGTAAACCACGGTAGCTTATTATGCCCCATTCTCTCCAATTTAGCATTTAAAGCTTATAGCGTATTCGTTTATTATTCAGTTCCAACCTGGATCGGGTATCAAGATTGGGTCTGCTTGTTTTCTGACAAACGTCAGTTTGCTCGTTTGTTTTTAAAACCAAGCTCAGGTTGAGGTTCACACTGACAAAAAGTTCGGTTTCGCACTGGGTTGGAACTGGTGTTAACCCCGATAATAAACGAATTCGCTATTAGAAATTTTTATTTTTGCACGAGAAGTAATTCAGCTTTGACGTAAATCATGGAACGTAAACAAACATTGCATGTTAAATTAAGTGTCCTGAAACGCTGAAACTGAAACGTATGCAACTCGACGAAGAGTGCGTTTGATTGAATTGATTTTCTCGTCCTTTTCAACTGATTCTTATATGTCAAAAGGGCCGCTTCCATGTGTCGGTCTCAGGGCACTGAAATTTACATGTCTTTTTCGTAGTTTGTACTGACACTACACACTTATGTCGTTTTCATTTTTGCGGTGTAGTTACACCGGTGCTACACTGCCGTACACCGATATATTTTAGGGTGTAGATATAGGATGCACCTTTGTTTACAAGCAAATGCTGTTGAGCTGTCAAAGACTCGCGCTTATTCCTGCTTACACTACACCAGTGCTACACCGCAAAAACGAAAACGACATTAGAAATAACTAATTTTACACGTGACGTAATCCATCTTTGACATAAAGGATAAGACGTAAACAAACATGTCATGTAATATTAAGTGCTCCGAGACTGAAAAGTTCGTTACTCGACGAAAAGTACGTTTTATTGAGCTGAATTTCTCGTCTATTATGACTCAATTTTATGTCAAAATTGACGTTCGTATATACCTAAATTTACATTATTTTTTCTAAGTGTGTAGATTTCAGTTGTAAACACATCAGTTCCAACCGGAGATAAACCAGCATCTGGCTGAAAATCTCCTTAATCAAAACAACCAACCAACATCAGTTCCTTTTCGAAAAGTACAAAAAATCAATCGTTTGGTTCAGGAAGTACCAGACCTTCGGTCCCAAGCTAATTGAAGCACCCATCGAAACGTAGGAAAACCCCAGGTGGCAACTGCAGAAGAAATGGTGTTTTGCTGTGGTTAGCTGCGCGCACGCTGAGTAGATAAAAAGAAGATTGGTGACCATTCTGAAGATCTCTTGTAAAAAGATGATGCGCGATGCAAGAAGATGCGAGAATTGAAAGAAGATTTTTCGAAAATTGATTCGTTAGTGTGAGATTTGTTGAGCATCTAGAATCGAACCCCTCATTGAACTCTGCCAATCGTTAGTTTCGTATTGATTGTTGGATCTACTATCGTGAGAAGATAGGAGTACCCGTTTGATGATAGCAACGGCCTAACCAAGTCGATTGATAAATCGGCGTTTCGGTAGGTAAAATTAACCAAATGGTGGTGTGGCGATGAATATTCGCTGCAACTTTTCACAAATTCTGCAACATCCGTATTCATATGCGGCCAAACGACACAGTTGGGTACAGGCTTTCGAGAAGCACGAATACTCTGATATGAAATTCCGTGAAAGTACGCCAGTATTGTCTTGCGGTGCGGTTTTGGGACGAACGGTCGAGTCACATCAATGAAAGTATCTCAATACAATGGTTTTGAACATTCAGTCAACGTCCTTAGCTCCAGACGGTGGAAATTATCCATTGAATTAAGAATGTTTAGAAGCTCTTCATCACTTTCCTGGTGCAAGGCAATCATTTTCGATTATTTTTTGTTCGTTGTGCTACCATTTTTCCAGCAATGAGAGTGCAGCACATGTTTGAAACGATCGGTGATGATCCTCTGGAGATGTTAATGCTTATATCTATTTATTTATTTATTTGTCGTCAATCAGTGTAGACCGTTTCACAAAAGTTATGTTGCCTTACATGCTATCGGCCGATTACAAATATACGACCTAACCGATTACAAATATTTTACTTCGGTTCGTTAATCGATTAATCAATTATGTGAAACGTCATTTCAAATATAAGGACCGTACATAAATAATGATACGATTTGAAATGGACCGGGGCTAATCACAAATTACGTCCCCACGGTAAGTGAAATAAACACCGGTTGATCAAGCCTTTTTGTCATCATCAAGTCTTTTTCCCATCGTGGGTTTTAAAGGTCTATAGTAATTAATGTTTTGTAATTTTTAGTTTTACATTTGCAGATTAGCTTCTGCTGCTTCCGGTTCTACATCGTACATTGCTGCATTGCTGCCCCAGCTTACCGAGTAGACCTATTTGTATGAAAATCGAACGCCAACGGAACGAAAAGTTTTTCAGATTCATCGAACTTTTTTCAGCGTTCGTAGCTGCATGTTCTGATGTACACCGATTGCATCAGGGTCAAAATCTATACCAGCGTTTATAGAAATTGTAAATAAATTTAATAAAATACTAATTGTAATACGAGTTTATATAAGCTAAGAATATAGAATTATTTACAACAAAAATAAAAATGTCTTTTATTCCCCACAAAAGTAATTGTTAGCAGCGCCATTGGTGTACGCTTGATTGCTTCTCACCTCAAAAGGGCCTTGGGTTCAATCCCAGTTGGTGCCGTCTGGAATTTCTGAGGCATTAAATCTTTAATCACGGGGAGTAAAGCCTTTGATCCCCGGTCCATGAGTTGGCGTCGATAGCATTAGTACTCAGTACGAAAAACAAGATCGACGGAAAACAAATCAAGGAAAAAAAGTAATTGTTAAGTTCCATGATATCCATAATTCGTTTGGATTCAAATTCATACTTGTATACGAGAAAAATCATACGACGGCTTAATGAATCAATTTGAAAGTTTTTCATAGTCCGATCGTATGGAATTCAACTTAAAATTTTGTCGCAAAAAATCATACGATATTACTATGAAATTTGATGAAATATTAATTTAATACTTAATATTAATCTCAGTGTAGTACTTATCGCACGCTCGATGGAAGTCGTTGCAGGAATTTCATTTTCTTAGGTTGTCATCCGCCTTTAAACCGCCAGCCAATTCATACATTTTTGGGAGAAAGCGTGTGGTTTTCATATGCCTAAGGAGTTCAACAGTTTTTCCATTCTGGTTTTTGGACACATTTCCTGTTTTTTTCCTTAATGGTACAATACTTATCTGCTACACCGAGGCAAAAAAACGTAAGAATTCCATACGAACCACCTATGAATTTTAGCCACAAGAAATCGATATGTTTTTCATAGATTTGCCTTATGAAAGATAATACCGACAAAAAATAACTAAACGGAGCAGACTGGAACCGAACCATGGACGTTGAGATTACGAGACCTGTGTCTGGGCCACTTGTCTGTCAACGCTGGGATAAAAGGAAAGGCTAAAGGCGTATAAGAGCTACCTTATGTTAGACAAAAATCTTTCATAAGTCACGCGTCACGCTTATGAAATTCATATCGGTCGTTAATAAGTCGAGCCTTATGAAATTCTTAAGTCTATTTTCCTCAGTGTACCAAAACTGTTTGGTCCACTTTAGAGATGATTGGTAGAAGAATGTCGTAAAATAAAAATGGTGGGGAATCCAAAGGAAAATCGGCGATTCGGCGATTCGGCGATTCGCGCATGACAACTCCAGATTTTCGATTTATAACACGTTCGGTCACCAATCGTTTGCGACCGAATCGAATAAATTGAAGTTCTAGGTCGGTCAATTCGACGAAAGTTATTTCTTCTCGAAAAATGAAACCGACGTGATTAACATTCGAAACTGATGTATACCTTTCTGCCATTGAACTTCAGAGATATCCAAAAGGGTGTCAACCACCATCATAGCTATAGAAACTCTAACCGTAATCAGAATTCTTTTCTATTATATTTTTTTTGTTCGCCCTACTTAATATTAATAAAAGATGTTGAATTCAATCATTTAGAAACTAGATAATCAATTTCTAGAAGATTAAAATTTTCTATGTTACATAATTAAATAAAAGCTCTCAACATTAACGTGAAATCAAACAAACACATACGTAATACGTAAGCTTTGAAATGTGAATGAGAAATTTGTTCGTTTTGCATTATTTCCTAATAAATTATCAAATGTGACAACAATTTATACTAGTCAAACATTCACGTATAACGTGTATAACTTTCTATAAAGTTTCTAAGTAATTGAATTGAAGATACAGATCCATCTAATAGTATAAACTACTCCAATGTTCAACATTTTCGAAAAGTTTCAATTGTTACGTTCATTTTAAAGCTAGTGTTGCAAAAAGATCTAGTCGTTCCAAAGAAATTGATATTCTTCCTCTTAATACGTCATGCCTTGCTTGGAGACCGTGTACCATGCTTTTACCTTGACTAGAGTTGGAAGTTCTGGTTGTTGGTGGCAGCTAAGCTCCACCGGTTGATATTGGCCTGTAGCGAGTGGAGTGATGGTGGCAATCCCTCCGGTTATTTGCTGTGGGTACTCTGAGTACCCGGACGGGTAGGTTTTTCTTATTGGACAGTGCGTGGGACGAGTCGATTGCTGTTGATACGTATCGAAAGGAATGTGATAATGTTTGAGCTGGTGGTGATGATGATAGCGGATGCTGCTGGACTTCTGCTTCGCTTTTCCATTCATCAAGATCGATTGCTTACGGTTGTTGCTTGCACGGGCGGACTTGCTTAGCTGGTTGCTACCAAACGATTGTGATCTGGGAACGGTGGCAGTCTTTTGGGTTTCCTCTGTCCTTGGTCCGTTGGATGTCTCCGACTTATAGACTACAATAAAACAGAAGATAAATCTCTATCCTTTTGAAGCTAATCCTCAACAAATTCTTACAATCAGTCTGCTGACTGTAGCCGTTTATACTCTCGGTGGTATCTGCATTACAATTTTGGTCTACAACATACGCCGGAAGCGAGTGTAGTTTCTCCAAAGGTCATATGGTCGAGTCGAACACACTCATCGAATCCGAGATGAGCTTGTCCTTCCGGCAACAGTCTAGAAATTCCTCTATCGTTATCACTCCATCTCGGTTCGAGTCCATTTTCTAGTGAGAGAAAATAAAATACATAACAAACCTCGATTAACTGAATCATCAGATTCGATCAAAACTTCTTATTACCTGGAAGATGTTTTCAACCTTATTCTTAATTTGCACCTCATCGGTTCCACCATCCTCCCGTTCGCCCATCAAATCATAGATGGCAGTCACAATGTCAGTCATTTCCTCTCGGGTGATCTTCCCGTCGTGATTGATATCATACAGTGAAAAAGTCCAGCAAAGTTTTTCCTCCAACGTTCCTCTGGACAGAATCGATAGACCTTGCACAAAATTCTAGAATTCAAGTCGTTAAAATTTAAAAGATTAAAGATAGTTAAACACTTTCGTGTTTTATTTATGTGAAGGATATTTACCTCAAAGCTGAGAATTCCTGTATGGTCCTTATCTAGGGTGTTGAACACATAATGGGCATATAAACCTGTATTAGCTGCAAAATAAATGAAATTTGTACATTACTACTCAGCAAATGCGTTTAGTTAGAGTAAGGTGGGGTAAAAGTTCGACCTTAGTTGAAAAAGGTAAAATATCTCAAAACTCCAAGCATTTAGATTCAAACTGATTCCATACATAATTGAAGAGAGCTTAGCCTACCTTATTATAACTAGGGGGTCAATTCTGGTTCCCCGCAGCCATTTTAAACTCTGTCCCTAGGGGGTTGCCATCAGGTGTCCCCAATATTCGGAAAGTGATGAACCAGCCTAAGGCTGTAAGCTTTTTTTTAAAAACTTTATTATACCTAGATATTTTTAGCCGCAAACTAGTTCATCTCTTGATGGCTGTAAGTCTCGTTAATAAAGATAACCTAACCTACAGAGCTTAGATGTGTTTTCACTTCATTCGTAGCTAGAACGATTTTTTCGGAAGAGTGTTCAAAATGAACTTTTGCCCCACCGGGGCACAGTAGGGAAAAAAGGAACACAAAATTCCACTTAATTAAAGGCCGCTGCATGGGAGTCCTGCAAAATAGCTAATATAATATAAAAAAACCCGAATTTATCCACCTATGGTGTGATCAGACCCTTCTTACTTATTCAAGTTTATTTATTTTATTGTCATTATCAGTGACCAAGCCTCCCCCCCCGTCTCATCCAGTGACGCTACACCACTGCCTGGGGGTACCCGGAATATATCCGGGTGTAGTCTATTTGGTGAGGCTACCAATCACCTTATCATCGTATTTTAATGTGATTTAATGGGTTTTAATTCAATTCATATTCAAGCAACTTCCCCGGGGTACCCGGAACATGTCCAAGTGTGTCCAATGTGGTCTGGAACACTTAACACGACTTGCATTGATCTTATTTTTGAATTCTGTAGTAATTTGATGTGTCGCATGATGGTTTTAATACGTTTTCCGTTAAATCCAGCGTGAAGGCCCATATTCACCGGATATTATTCCGGCCATATCTCCGGAACCGGTTCACCGATTCCAAAACCGTTCTATAGCGTTCAATGGGACCTCAAGACCTATCATTTGGCGCCGAGTTTGTCCAAATCGGTTGAGCGGTTGCTGAGAAACGTGAACGCATTCATTTCGTTACATACACACACACATACACACATACACACATACACACGTACACACACACACACAGACATGTTCCGATCTCGTCGAGCTGAGTCGAATGGTATATGATGGTTTTGATACGTTTTCCGTTAAATCCAGCTTGAAGGTCCATATTCACCGGATCTTATTCCGACCATATCTCCGGAACCGGTTCACCGATTCCAAAACCGTTCAATAGCGTTCAATGGGACCCCAAGACCTATCATTTGGCGCCGAGTTTGTCCAAATCGGTTGAGCGGTTGCTGAGAAACGTGAGCGCATTCATTTCGTTACATACACACACACATACACACATACACACATACACACGTACACACACACACACACAGACATGTTCCGATCTCGTCGAGCTGAGCCGAATGGTATATGACACTCGGCCCTCCGGGCCTCGGATCGATAGTCGGTTTTTCAAAGTGATATCTATACCCTTCTTTGTAAGAAGGGTAAAAAAAACTTGAATTTATCCACATATGGTGAGATTTTACCCTTCTTGCTTATTTAAATTCCGACAAAATGGCTTACGTCCGCATTTAGGAAAGCGATGTAGGATAATTTTTGTATAAAAGAGTCAATGTCCCAATGTTGGCCTAAGTGTCATTAATATTGGGCCCATAAATAAATTATAGGTTTTTTTCCTTGATTTGTTTTCCGTCGATCTTGTTTTCCGTACTGATTACCAATGCTACTAACGCCAGGGAGACAGCTCCCACACACCTGGACTCTACCTATCGACCCATCAACTCATGAACCGGGGACCGACGGCTTTACTTCCCTTCCCAAGGAAGACATGATGAAAGATTTACACAACCGGCGCCGCTAAACCTTCATGTTCCATAAAGTTCAAATAAAGTTCCATCACAACTTTCTGGCTACTTTAGAAGCTATACACGCAAACCAAAAATCTATTACAATGAATGTTAGTTCCATTTCCTATCATCCTCTGTTCATGAACATCGCAGCGAATGTTAGAAGTTGACCTTGCAGGCGATGTAATGGTTTTTTGCCTTTTTTATTTCGTGTTCTGTCTGTGCTTTCACCAACACAAGCAAGCATTTGCCTTGATTTTTATGTATAACATGGTAGAACGACGCACACACTTGCCTCGAATCTCTCCAGCAGAAAAAGCATACGCAGTCGAGTGTGAGAGGAAATGAGCACTTCTTGTTTGCTTTTAGGCTATCCTTATTCAGAGGCATGGAGAGAGCAGTGGAGAAAGCACAGGTCTGATAACCGCAACGATCGTTGTTCAAGTCCAGTCGGCAACCTTTTTCCTATTTTTTTTGACATAATTAATTTACCTCACTAATGCACTCTACATTTTTCGGTCTCCAATTTTCTTGCATTGGACCGCAGCTAGGTATATCGCATCCTCGGTTCATGCGGTCTCCACTTACATTCTCTGATGATGAATCCCACATAATTGTAAGCGAATCTTACATCCACCGGTTGGGTGTAGGAATCTGCCGTCATTATCCCGTCGATTTTCATGAGGCTTCCCATTCCACTCCACGAAAAACACCCTCAGACCATCACATTTCCTCCTCCATGCTTCACCGTGTCATGGATGTAGCGCTCCTGATGCTCCTCACCCGATCTGAACCACACACGAATCCGCCGCTTTCGGTTAAACAGCTCCTTAGCAAACATAAGCCGTTTGGCTTTGTTTGCCTTGCTGATAGATGGGCGCTACCGGTCAACTTTGATATTCAACCCCTGTGCTACGAGACGGCGACAAATAGTTCGACCGGAAACTGATAACTGAAAGGTTTCCTGGATCTCGCAGACAGTTACCTTCGGATTCTTCTTGACTTCGCGCATGATCTTGGTGCTGATACTGTATACTTCCTAGCGACAGCCCGGTGTGATTCACCGTTTTGCACATCACAAACCACCAATTATCGGATACACAAGAGAATTGCTTTGAACCAAATAAATGAAATAAATTCAAAAAATGATGTTGCTTTACACTTTATGTTGCTTGTTTGGTGGTTTTAATTTCATTAGTTGGTCAATGATGTGCGTACAGCTTTCATCGTGATGGGCGAAATGCAGAAGCGCGTGATTGGATGGTGACCAATAGATAGCAAAATGTGCAAGTTGAGGATCAAAGGCCGTTTCTTCAATGTCAGCATAATCAACGTGCACAGCCCTCACTTAGCATTTAGCAAGCAGCCATTAACGGTGCTGCTGAAGGTGCCATTGGGTTTGTGCCATGCCAGCTCCCACGATAGGTGAAGTTAAGGATGCTATCCGACAGCTAAGTACATTTTTTTTTAATTCTTTATTATAGAGATTTTTAGCCGAAGGCTAGTTCATCTCTTCTTAAGAACAACAAAGCAGCTGGTAAAGATGGTATCGGAGCGGAACTTATCAAATGGGCCCGGATAAGTCCTCCACTTGTCTGCACCGACTGAAAGTCAGGATCTGAGATACAGAACAGCTACCGGAGGAGTGGAAGGAGGGAGTAATATGCCCAATATATATAAAGGCGACGAGCTAGAATGTGAAAACTATCGAGCGATCATTATTCTCAACGCGGCCTACAAAGTGCTTTCCCAGATCATCTTTCGCCGTTTATCGCCGCTGGTTTAGTGGACGGGCACCTATTAATCGACTTCAAGGCTGCTTATGATACTATTGACCGTGAAGAGATATGGAAGATTATGGACGAGAACGGGTTTCCCGGGAAGCTGACCAGACTGATCAGGGCTACTATGGATGGTGTACAGTGCTGCGTGAAGAGATCGGGTGCGTTATCGGACCCGTTTGAAACTCGAAAAGGACTTCGACAAGGCGACGGTCTTTCCTGCCTCCTGTTCAATATTGCGCTAGAAGGTATTATGAAACGTGCGGGCTTTAACATGCGGGCCACGATCTTCAATAAGTCCAGCCAGTTAATCTGCTTCGCTGACGATGCGGACATTATCGGAAGAACGCTTCGGGCCGTGGTGGATCAATACACCAGGCTGAAACGTGAAGCAGAGAAGGTTGGATTAAAGGTGAATACGTCGAAGACAGGTTAGCTGTTAGCTGGAGGAACCGAGCGCGATATGGCTCGCATAGGCAGAAGCGTGACAATCGACAGAGGTGGTCGATGAATTTGTGTACCTCGGATCATTGGTGACGTCGGATAACAACTGCAGCAGACAAATTCGTAGGCGCATAATTGCCGGAAGTCGTCCTTACTACGGACTCCACAAGATCCTGAGGTCGGGTAAACTTCACCCCCGTACTAAAGACACGTTGTAAGAATGCCGGACAACAATTCCGCAAAAATGGTGTTTGCCTCGAATCTTGCCGGTACAAGACGCAGAGGAGCACATTGAGCAAGGTGGTTAAACAAAATGGAGCAAGATCTGGGAAGTGTGGGACGGTTAAGAAATTGGAGACAAGCAGCCACAAACCGAGTTAGTTGGCGTAACATTATGACGCAGGTGTAATCCAGACGGACGTCGGACCAGGAAAAATAAAGTAAGTCAATGTACTTTTAGATGGAATTTATTTCAACATTTACAGTGATCAATTTTCCCCGGTTCATAGTACTTCACCTTTTATATCATTTATGCTACGTGATTCTTTAAAAAAAAATCCAAGTTCATTCTCGATTTTTTCACCGAATCCCATTTTTTGTCAAGTCCAAGATATCTCAATCAAAATTTAGGTCCAGTCTTTTACCACCCGAAAATTGATCTAATGACCTATTCACGATCTAAATGTAATCTGAACTTTCTTTAAACACTTGATAGAGGGTTGATTGATTGATTTCCTATTTATGAGATTTTCAGCCGCAGGCTGGTACATCTCCGGAATTTATATATATATTTTTTTACTAAAAAGTGAGGTCAAATTTATGGGATCCCTACACTTTTTGTATTAATTACAAGCAATATTTAAAAACGTTTATAATGGGTCACGATCTTATACAATATAAATGTGTGTCGCAATCAACGAAAAATTGAGAACTTTGTTGAAATTTATATCAAATTAGATTTTTGCTCTAGAATCTATATCTAAGTACGCTATATCTCTTTTCTAAGCAATTAAGGTAAATTTCAAGATTATTACGTAACATTTATTTGGATATTTACCTCGGGGTGGCAATTTGGCTCCACCATGCTCAATCGATTTGAAATCAAGTTTTGAGCATTCTCTCAAATTTTGACCTGTCGATCTGGTTTTCCGTGCTGAGCACCAATGCTACCGACGCCAGGGAGGAAGCTCATACACCTGGACCTGAACCTATCGTCCCATCAACTCATGAACCAGGGAATAACGGATTTACTTCCTTTTACTAGGCGTGATCAGAGATGTTATGCCTCAGAACATCCCGGCGGCGCCGGCTGGGATTGATCCCAGACCTGCGCTTATCGCTACACCACCGGCGTCCCTTATGTCATCAAAATTAAATGTACTCACTTGGACAAATAATTCATAGGTACAGTGCTTTCGAGGAGTGTTTAATTGAAAACAGGCATAACATATGAACCTGGAAATTAATGCAATTTCAATGCTTCAGTCTGTGCAACCTCTGGTTGAAGCCGATGTCAATTGTCATTTTAAAATTCTGGCCACTTTCTGGAGGGCTCCCGAGACATGGCCGGGTATGGCCAATGTAAACCCATGTCATTCCGTTCCGGAAATACCCATATTGAAGGGTATTTAACAGTATTTCTAAAACTGATGGCCGCCATCTTAGATTCCAAAATGGCGTCAACTTCGATTTTTGACCTCTTCACGTGACCCCTGTTTCTAAAATACGAGGAGGTGAATCTATCAATGATGCAGGAAAGATTTTGTTTTGCTGTGGTTACCTGCGCGCACACTGAATAAAGTCTGGAATGCGCAAAAATTGGTTGACTTCGAATTGGTGTATTTCTGTTAAAAATGCATTAAAAAAAAACCTGAAATGCTGCATTTGAAAGTTGAGTGTATATACAAGAAGAATTTTCACCGTTTGCTCTCCAGTTTTCAAAATGAGGAGCAGCGTGAAAAATTTTGTTCGCGCAGCAAGAGAATCTGACGTTCTCACACGCCAAGTTGGATTTCAAGTAGCTTCCGGGACAGGAGTTTTATGCCGCATCAGGAAAAGGGAAGGTGGCTGAAATTTTCAAAACCATCAACCTATCGAAGTTCCCGAAAAAATATCTCGTCTGGCAGGCCATATGCACATGTGGTCTAAAAAGCGGCATTTTCATTACTACGGGAACCATCAGTCAAGAGATCTACATCCAGGAGTGCCTGGAAAAGCGGCTGCTACCATTCCTAAAGCAATATAATAGACCTGTGCTGTTCTGGCCGAATTTGGCGAGCTGCCACTATGGAAAAAAAGCAAACGAGTGGTACGATGCGAACAACGTGGTTGTGGTCCCAAAGACCACAACCCTCCCAACAGCCCAGAACTCCGTCCTATCGAACGGTGTTGGGCCTTGGTCAAACGGAATCTATCGGAAAAAAACTAATAAATCCATGTTAAATGGTGAACCAAACAGTTATTTACGAGGTAGGATCTTAGCTAACAGATTCTGTTGAAACGACGTGTTGAGAAACACTCAGTTCAATTTATGTTTGTTCTATTTTTTTATAATCTACAAAAAACTGTAAGTTTCTGACAGTTGCACAGAACGTACATATGGGAACATAATAATACATATTTACACGTTAGTTTTAACCATTTGCATGAACAATATCAAATTGATTGTCAAGTGACCCAAATTACAAGCTGCGCGGAATAACCCACGTTCACGGTACATCAAAAAAGAAATACTGCTTTCCTGTCCGTCAGGATTGAGCAACCGATATTCATGTCCCCATAACCAATATAATCGCTAGTATTAGTCGAAACATTCTTCTTGCTCACCGAATTCCCATGTAGTATGTACTCACCTCCCTGGGGGAAGAACTGCGAATAGATAAATTTGAACGTTTCCTCCCGGATGATACCAGCCGGACACTCCGCCTTGAAGCCTCGGTAGATTCGTTTGATTTCCGACTCGGTGAACCGTGTTGCGGCACACAGCGCCGCAATGGATTCCGGCCGGTACTTTGGTGGGGCCACGATTTCCTCGAGTTCACAATCTAGGTATGTAAACGTAAATGATATGGAACCAAATTAATACAATCCGTGGTATCGACGAATGTTGAAATCAATCGAATGGGCAATGAAATAAAATACGAAAAAAATGTAGGGTAGGTGTACAAGAGATGACTAATGATCCTATTATTTAGTGTTTCTTTTACAGCATATGGAACGAATACCCATGACTAGTACATCTACCCTAGAATGTCTTATGTGGTTCCCTGAGGGCGTATTTGAACTTTTCCATTGGACCCAAGACCAGTTTAGTTTGTGTTTTCCTTTACAAACCAGCTACACCACAACATGGGAGAAGGACGAAAATGAAATGGTACAACGTAAAACACATTTGGGATTATGTTTTCAGCTATTTTCCATAATACGGCTTTGGGCGGCAAAGTGAGGTAAGCCCAGTCCCACTCATAGAGGAGAAATATAGAAAAATGAGCAGATCCTTATCGTATGATAAATACCCAAAAATAGGTCGTTTCCATAAATTGCAACGCTTCGAAGTAATAGCCCTTATTTATTGAAGTCCGCACCTGGGTAGGATCAAGGAATAGGATGTTGTGTGGGAACAATCCGATTTGAGAAGAAATGTTTTCAAACACCCCACCTCATCACACGTACATATTTTGTTGTTGTATTATGTTTATTGGAAGCTGATTCAAATAATTTATCAATAATAATTATCGTTGATTTTCATCCCGTCATCTTGTGGAGGTTTTGTAAAAAAAAATCATTCTGGAATATATTTTTTGTACGTTACGATTCTTAATACTATTACATTTCTCTTAAGAAACTCTGGTGTGATGTGTTGAGGGCTGTCATCTGATCTCTCGATACGCGAAATGCGCTGATTTTCTTGAATCCACTTAGTAATAATCAAGCAAACACACAGTTTGCTAGCCTTTCAAACTGCGTAAGTGCAATACAGTGGAGAAGAGAAGAAAGGACGCACATTCACAAATAACTAAAACTGAATGTGTAGTCATCACTCCAACGAACGCAAAGAACGCCACATAATGTAGGGTTTTTTTGTTAGTTACTTTATTTGTACAGGCTCAATCGAATAAACTTAACAGTGCCAACATAGTATAGGGTTGTAAATGGGAAAGCGAGCACAAAGACCACATGTTTCTTTGTTATGTACTTCTTCATCTGTTATGCATGCCATCGTGGTAAGCAAAGACGGCAAAGAACTCACAGAAAACGTTAGCTGCTTTTTATATTTTATTCGTTATCTGCGCCGCACTGAGTGTACCACTCATTATGTGGATTGCAATGGAAGAACCACACACTCTTTGTCGAGATGCATGCACAAAGATGCTTTGCAACCGCTCTGAGGCGCTTTCCAGCCCTGGATGTGATATGACGTACTTGGTGGTCTTGAAGCAACGGTTTTTGCTTACTAAGCAGAACATCATGAGTTTATTCTCAGACCCTTTCACTTTCATGATTCGTTAGTTGCTTTCTTTCTTAACTTGAACCCATCACCCAGTGATTTCTCGTGAAGGTGCTCAGAATTTCTCGGCTTCCAACAAAGAGAGTATCACGTTAACACATTCCTCCCCATTTCCTAATTTATCTGCATTTGGACGTAGCCGGTGCTGGTATTTCCAATTATCACCAGATTTTACACATTGAGAATATATGTTAGTTCCAAGCATAATCTGTTGGTTATCTGTGTAATAACAAGTGATCTGCCAATAACGGAGTAGCAGTTGCGGGTGATCAATCATGCTCATGCTCCAAATAATAATGCGGTAACGGTAAGCAACAAGATATACTTTGAAATTTGTCATGACAAACTCTATCTTAATTGGAACGATGGAAGCTATAAAATAAAATTGTTAGCAAGTTTGTTTACAACGTACGCAGTTGATGATACACGTAAGTCAACGCACAGTGGCGCAGATACTGTATTTCGGTGAAATTGTTCTAAATATTTACTTTTTAGTTAGTCGAAATAGGCCGGCATAATATTCGACAAAGTTGTAGAACAATTTACTGGAAGCAACTTTGATGAAAGAAGCTATTTTCTATATCGAATGGTTCACGATTTATATTGATATTATTAAAGCTTTATTAGTTTAGTATCACCATCAGTCTAGTTCATCACCAATTCACAATTTATAGTTGTTCATAAAAACTTCATGAAAACCCGTTTTTCAATGGACTTTCTATGCATTTATTTTTAGTAAATGATTTGTTCTGGATACTTTTAGAACTATTCAAAACGCTCATTTTCGCTGAAGAAACCAGCAGTTGAGCAGCCAAATAGCGAAAATATCATCAAATTTAAGATTTTACCTTTCAGAATTCCTTGAAATTTCGTATAATTGTTTGCTAAGGCAATGAACCAAGTTGGTGGTGGAAATTGGCCATTTTGACTCACATCTAGTTTTTAAAAATGGTGCATTAGATATGTTTCAATAAATCATAGCACAAAAATGGCTCATAGAAACTGGATTACCTTTTCAGAAAAAAAAAAAATCCACACTGCAAAAATAATTAAATGATGTAACAAACTTTCGTCAAATATTTTAAATAAAAACTATTAACTTCAATAACAAAAATAAGTGAATTTTTATGAATTTAAAATTCATTTAAGTGTAAAAATCATAAAAAAATTATTTTATTTTTAAGTTTAAAACATTTAATTTTTTTATTTTTTTATGAAATCAGATGTTCTTGGTTCTCCAAAACATGTTGGAGTCCAAGTCAAATGATCTACTAGATTAACCACGACTGGTAAAAAGCCGATAGCAACAAAACATGTCCAAGCAGGTCCATAAAGCCCATGCCCATAATTAACATTTCATTAATATGAAAATCAGATTTTTAAGAGGAATATTGTATAATATTTTATTCATATCTTTTGTTTTGACGAAAAAACGTATATTGACAAAATGATGACCAAAACCTTGATTTATTTCAAATGAAGCTACGACACGCTTCTACAAACAAAAATCAATGAACATTTGAATAAGGTCCGTTATCAGCTGTTTGAGGTAGCTGTGTCATTATGTGAGAACATGAGCGTTTTACAGCATTTAAATCGATTTTGCATTTTTGGCCCTCCAATTGCTTTTGTACACGGTAAGAAAAAAGTAACCAAAAGTAAGTTCTTTTCACTCATCTCGGCACTATAGTGCAGGAACCCAAAAGTAGGTAAAGCGGGTCAAAGTAGTTTTCATTTACTTGTGTGCAATTCGTATGAAATTTTCCACTCGCTTTATACCCAAAAGTAAGTTAGTTGTACCCAAAAGTAGGTAAATATGATTATACTCAACGTTATGTTTCCACACTTTACTGTTGTCAAAAATGGAGGAGCAAAACCACCCAAATGGAGAAGGAGAAAAGGAGACAAACTAGTCAGAAGTAGGTAAAAGTGAACTGGCCCTTGGGTACTTTTTTCTTACCGTGTACACCAACGAACTCATATTTCCAAGGGGGGGGAGGTGGCTGTCAAATACGAACAATCGTCGCCTACCTCGCATGCCTCGCATAACTGGTTCCAAAGGTAAACAAGCCATAAGAAACCTACAGCGATTGTTTACGTTTGGAGCCAGTTTCATACAAGAATGATCAGTAGGCTGATTTGACAGCACGTCCCCCCCAGCATATTTCAAAAAAAAAAAAAATTTCAATTGGGTGACACTGAGGCAAGTTTGTTGGATTGCGATTTTTTGGTACATACGGGACATTTTGATTTTCCAAAATGTTAGTGTTTTCTTAGCATAATGCGATGATGCTTTATCCGGCCAAAACACAAAGTTTCCATCTGCGTGATAATTTTGAAGAAATGAAATCAATATTTTCTTCAAACATTGATTTCGACACACTTCTTGGTTGATAGCCAAACCGCTAGGCTTGAACCATGGCGCTTGGAAATTTCTCTCTCCGATGTACGATATACAGCATCACTTTCTGTTAAAACTTGTGTTTGAACTTGAATTTACCATTTGGAGATGTATTATCTGAATAATATCGGTCATTTCCAGGAATGTGAGATTTTGAGAGAGGAATGTAACTTTCATCATCCTGAGTAATTTCTTGTCATCCAACGGCATTGGGTTTTTACGTTCGAAATTTATTGATCGGTGTATTCTGGAGCTCTTGATTTCTTTCGAAAAACTATTCCTATCCTTTTCAAAGTTTTACAGATGTAAGGTTGCGTGCATTTGAACTTTTTCACGGCGTCCCGCTGACTTATCGAATCTTTGTTGTTGAACGTATTGTGGAGCGATCGCAGTCCCTTTTAGTTCATTATTTTGGCTGGTTTTCCACTAACCCCCCCTGCCGAACTGTTGTCAAGGATGCCAGAATATGGTAAACAGTAGAAATTGGTACATTCTCTGATTTAAAATGATTCACCGTAAACTTTTTCCCACGATTTTCGTAGGTTTTTAAGAACTGTACAATGTACTCACGAAGTGCTTCTTGTTTTGATGCCATTTTGAACACAAATGAGCATGTAAAAATAAAATAAAAAATTATTTAGTTTTGTGGAGAGAGAGAGAGAGAGCGAGAGAGTATTGATTTCAATAAGCTGTCTCTTTGTAGTGGAATTTTGGATCAGTCTAGTGAAGATGTTAGTAGTTTGACTAATTAATTATTTTGGAACCACCATGCATCTCCTGGCTTCTATTTTAAATTCACGTGGAACCAATCATCCACATTTGTGAAGGTAACACTGAACTTTTTTTTGTGTTTTTATTTTAGTACACATGTAATAAAACCGACCATCGTGATTGTTTACAACAAGCCAGTTACTCATGCAGCGCATAAAATGAACACACTTCTAGCAGTGCCATACGCTTAACGTGTGGGCCTTCTTAATGCGCTGTTTGGCAGAATAATAAAAAGGAGTGAAATGTATATTTTTCCAAATTGAAGTTACACCGAGCGTAATATGATGTGTCTGATAGGGTTCGTTCGAAAATTACGTAACTCAGAAAAAGTTGAGTTTTGAACATATCCCCTCCCCTCATCACGC